CGGCCCCCGGCAACTTCCGTTCCGGCTCTCGCGCATGCGCCGTGTGGCTCTGAGGGCGGGGAGGGGCTGAGGCAGGGACTGGGTGGGGGAGGGGCAACAAGGGCTGCAGTGCAAGGGGCTGTGTTGGGGCAGGATGCAAGGGGCTGCATTTTTGCAGGAAAGGGGTGCACTGGGCTAGGAGGGGGCTGTAAGGGCTGCATTGGGCCTGTATTTTTACAGGAGGGGGCTGCATTGGGGCCAAGTTAGGAGCACACCGGGCAGGCAGGCGAGTCAGTGCAGGCCCCAGGAGGCCACCAGATGTGGGAGGCTGCAGCTGCATGACGGTGAAGTGGGGCAGTCCAGTAGCATTTTCCCCAGTGGCTCCCTAGCTGTGGCCTTGGGAGCGCTTGCCGGCGGCGGGCAGGCGGCTGGCTGCTTGGGTGCTCCTTCCTGCTCCTCGGCAGTTGCCGCAGGTGTGCAAAGCTGCAAGCTAGGGTCTGTGCCAGCCAACACTGACAGCTCTTCACGTGTCCGGTTCATTTCTGAGCGTACGCTGCTATGCACAAAACATCAGTGATCCGACTGAGGACACATCTCGGGTGTTTCCTCGAATTTCTACCTCAAGTCTGGGGTAGTAAGAAGTCTAGAAACTCAGGGCAGAGCCCACGGCGCTGCCGGCGACGACTTGTGGTTGTTCCGAATGCCCGATGAGACCAGCACTGACGAAGTGAACTTGGGTTCGCAAAAACTTGTGCACGCTCTGTCTCTAATGACGTAGTCTATAAAGGTGCATATCTACCCTGCCGTCTGACTGACTTCGAGCTAACGTGGTGGACTACCTCTCAGCACATCCTGAGACACTGCCACTTTTATATCTTCATCCAAAGTTCATTTTTACCAGTGGATCCACACACGCAGTAACATTTGCAGTCAGCACAAAAGTCTGGCTTACGTGTTATTATTAATCGCTGAATTGAGCGCGTACTAAATCAGTTAGCTGAGCCTTAAGCGCAGCTCTTGCAAACTCGGTGAAGTTGTGTTTTGTTCTCCCTCTGGAATAGGGGTAAGTGAAAATTTTATCTGGGTGGGTGCTGCTGATCTGGCCCTTAGGAGCTGGAAAGGATCCTCTTCCCCAGATTTGATGCTCCAAAGCTGCTTTTCTTTTCCTGTGTTGCTTCTTTACTTGTTTACTTGGCTGTTAAAACTGGCCCTGGGTTTCCTACCCTTACCGTGCTCTTTGGCTGTAGTAAAATTGCAAACATTGCGCAAAAGCTGTCTGTCTCTCTCCAGCTGTTCCTGCAAAGCCTCACAGCAGCTGAATAATCCCCTTGGCAGCTCCTCCCTGGAGAGGATCAGCTCTTGTATTTGTTTAAACTCTGTGTATTCCTAACTTCCGTTCCATGTGATGCCTTGGGCTAAACCTAAGGCCAGTATTTGCTCTGCGGTGTCAGCGTGAGCTCTTCCACAATGAGCACCCGCTTTATGATCTTAGCTTTTACTATGTTCCCCTTGGGCTTCGGCTGGCTATCTCCTTTCCAAGAGGTAAGTGTGACTCCTTCCCCCCTGCCCACCTCCCCCCAAAATAACAATGTATGTTCAAACCAAAGCTATGAAACCTCACTAATCATTTCCTCTGGATGATCTGTGTGTTCCATAGGCTTAATGCAAAAAAGCCAAATCAAAATGTAAAACATCTAAGTTAATAATTAGGTTTTGATGAATTAAAGTCATGTGTCTACATGGATTGTTTTTTCCTTGAAAAGGCAAAGATTTTTTTTTCTTTTTGCAGAAATTTCTCAGGGCTTTGGATCCAGAAGATGTTTTTTCTTATTTTGGCACCAAGTCAGTTCTTGATGGTATGCAGGGCTACTTCTATCTTAATTCTGGATTGTATTGTATGTTTAACATTGTTTCTAATATGGCATATTTGAAGAGCCTTGTATTAACGTTAACCTAGATCTTACGATACTTTCAGTGTGAATGACCTTACTCATGTATGTGGTTCTGGCTCTCTAATGTGTAAATGTCTAAAGAATCGAGTCTCTTGTTCAGTAGTCTGTAAAATGGGTCAGAAATTCCTTTTGATTATTCCATTTAACTCTGCTCTATGCTAACTGTTATTGTTTTAATGCAAAATTGGTAGAGTTATAGACTACAGATAACCCTAGGGACAGATCCAAATCATCTAGGTCCAAATGTATGGACTGAGGATGGTTGTGTTTATTTAGAAACAATTTGGAGACTAGAGTAATATTTTGAGATTAGGCTGATAATTCAAGACTAAGGAATTTAGCTTGTTGGATTCTGAGGGTAGAGACATTGTGTCTCTCTCTCTGTTTGCCCAGTACCCAGCATGCTGTTAGTATTTAAATGGTGATGATTTACTCTTAAGTAATGCATGACAGCTGATAAACTCAAAAACATTGTGACCCTTGTCAAATAAACTGTTATCCCAGTTTTACAGAAGATGGGGAAACAAAGGTATGGTTACAAATCTCGACTACAAGCAATCAGTTTTAGAGCTGAATATAGACTTGAGACCTCGGTGACTGCAAGTCTATGCTTCAGCACATGATCGTCCTTAATTTTGGGGTAGATAGAAACACAAAAGACTCTGGCTGGTGACATTATTTAAGGGGAGGGTCACGAGCTCTCCGGAGAGGGCTGTTTTTCATGGAAGCAAATTGATGACACGTCTTTTCCCTTGTATGTCTGTTGTCACTGTGAACGGTTCCTGTAATTTTTTGGTCATTTCCTTTCTTTATTCCAGTACCTGAGTTCATTGTTGTTCAGCCTGCTTGCACCTGTGAAGAAGACCAGGTTGGACTGACCGCTTGTAAAGTCCAACGCTGTTCCCTTCAGTCATGGGGAAAGCTCTACACCTTTGAATTTCTAGAGGATCCTGATCTCCTTCCCCCTTCCTTTGTGAGCCATCGAGTGCTGAACGCTTCTGTTAGCTTGCTAAAATGGTTCCCAGACAACTGCTTTGCAGGGGGAAAACTACTGCATCCTTTGGGGGCTGTGTGTAGGGTCAGTTACTGCGAAGGACAGCTGGTGAGTATGTAGCATTGGCTGCAAGGGGATTCTCATCTGGGTAGGAGGGAGATTGAGCTAGAGGCTGAAATCCAAGCTTTTCCCAGTGTTCACAAGGTTTACAGTCCAGCACTGGGATTTGGGATCCGCTCAGCTCTTTAGTACAGCACTGTGAAGGTGCTTGAAAGAAGACCTACCATGTATCATTGCTGCTTTGAAGAGTTTACAGTTCAATGCAGTATATGTTGCCAGATTTCAGACAGAAGAAAATATCAAGACTGGCAAATAAGTAAAGAAATAAGACATAAGAGAGCGCGGGAGGCGAGATTGTATGTGACTTGCTATTGGCATTGGAGGTCATTGGAATAACAGAGGGCTGGATCTTTATCTCCTATAGCAAGGCATCATCATTGCAAGTGAGGAAAAGATTCACATCAGGCCTGTGAGAAGTAAACACTGGAGCCTGCTGAAGGACCTCAGCTTCTTCAGGCCCCACCTCATCTTCAGAACTACAGGGAGAGGGGCAAAGACAGCAAAAGGTATTGGCCGTGCTGGCCTTGACATAGGAACTGACAGCCTAATGGTGCCCCTGGGCAACTTGCATATGTTAAATTGCCCAGGGTAGCTTCCTCCTAGCACTTCGCAGATTCCTACCTGCACTGGTTTCAGTCTTGTGAATGACTTGTGCTCAGCAGAAGGGAATGGGTCCCCAGAAGCCCCCAGGTCTTCCTGCTTCCTAAACTCCCCTTTGCTCTGTTGTGTTATAGAAAAAAAGTTTCATCCTCGCCATTGGAAAAGGTCTGAGGGGACTGTCAAGCACCTGGAGCTGCTGGTTGTAGCAGGCCCAGATGTGTACCAGTTCCACAGAGAAGACACTGAGAGGTATATCCTCACCAACCTGAACATTGTGAGTAGTTTGCTCTTTGTTTTCAGTGCACCATCTTAGGGCTCTGTGGTGTCGTGGGTTCAGCATAGCCTCTGGAGGGGCTTCTTGCTCACCCTCCAGTCATGTGTAGCACAAGCTTCTGAAAACATTTGCACAGACATTTGTGGGGAGCACCCAGTGCTCTCTCTCGAGGAGTCTGGATGGTGTGCAAAGCAGTTTCCTGCTGGCACAGCCCTGTGCTTTGCATGGGGTCTGACTCTCACAGAGGAAGCCATGTGTATGAAGGAGGGCCTTGGCAAGTACTGTGAGTGCCGCTGTAGCATTGTAGTTGGAAAATGTGTTCCGTAATTTCATTAGTGGTGTTGATGAATACCTGGTGCTGCATTCATTATTAAGAGTCTTTTAATGTGGAGCTGGATTCAGTGCCTGTGGGATTCAGTGGACGGTCAGACTCCCCAGAATTTTAGTGGCTGAGCCCTTTTAAGTCCATTTTACTTCTCTGCATTTTAACATTTGGTTGCTATTATTGACTTCCCCCTGCACTGCCCATTTGCTGCATTTACCATATGACTGTTAGGGCTGGGTGACCCTGGGGAACTTGGGCATCTGTGTTCACATCTATCAAATTCCTTGCCAGGTTGGTTTCCATCAATATGTGTGGCCTGCAACCTTGCTTGTTGAGGATCATGGCACTCCCCTTTAGTGGCCAGACAAGGTGTTTTACATTGGGTTTAGTTCCAAGAGGAATCTAGGAGCTTTAGGGCACGGACCTTTGCAAGCATCTGCCCATGGAGTGCAATGTGAAGATTTTGTATGGGAGTGTTTCAGAAACTAATGGCAGTTTTGAAATAAAAACCATTGTGCGCAATGATCACGTGCTGGTCTGCATAACTACTCTCCATAACCATAAACAATGGTGCATTTGATGATGTGGGAAACTCAGTGTTTGCTCTTGCTGT